TGAGGATAGTAGTGCAGGCTAGGAGAGTTAGCCAGTGGTGCAGGCCCAGGGAAGCAGAGCGAGGTGAGGGCAGGGCCAGGACCAGAAGTGGTGCTCCTGGAGCCCAAGAAAGGGACTGGGTTGCTCTGGGTGAGAAGGGACAGGAAGCAGTATTGGTTCCCCAGGTGTCTGGGGCCCCAAGACTAGGAGTGGCGCAGGGCTCAAACTAGGTGTATAGAATGGCGAGGGGGGGGATGGAAGGGTGAATGTGGCTTAGGGAGTCCCAGCACGGAGAGCTGCGCTGTAGCTTTCTTTGGTCTTTTAAAGACAGGGTCTCCTTGTAAGAGCTCCAGCTGGCCTGGAACTCACTCTGTAGTCCAGGCTGGCCTCAAACTCACAGAGATCCTCCAGCCTCTGCCTCCCCAGTGCTGGGATTAAAGGTGGGCGCCACTGTGCCCAGCCCTATATTCTATTTCTTTAAGTCAACTTTAGTTTGCAAGTATAATGGGAATGTGCAGGAAGTTTTCTTTTTTGACTGGCATGTTTCATTTGTTTTGTCTGTTTTTTGGAGACATAAAATGGTAAATCGGTATTTACCCCCAAGAAGAAAGAAAAAGAATTGTCATTCCAGTTTTGTGGATAAGTAAATTTATTGGGATCACTTACTTAGAGATGCCTCTCAGACAGCTGTACCAATGGAAAACCCAAACTGTGTCAGTTTTTACCTCTATGTCACATGCAGTTGGGCAGAAGGAGTCCTGATTGGAATCTCAGATGAGGGGTTTGTGACAGTCTTGTGAGGGAATGTTAACAGCTTCATTAACATTATTATAGACCTAGATACCTGCTCTGTAGTTCTTTTTATGTCATTGCCATGACTATGAACCAAGGTCTCTTGAAGATCACAACTGTTCTCCTTTAAGATAGCAGTGTTTAGACTGGAGCTAGAGAACTGGCTCAGTGCTTAAGAGCACTGGCTGCTCTTGCAGAGGACCTGGGTTTGGTTCCCAGCACCCACATGGTGGCTAACAACTGTCCATAACTCCAGTCCCAGGGGATCCAATGCCCTCTTTTGGTCTTTGCAGGCATTGCATTCACATGATGCACTTACATCCATGCAGGCAAACTACTCATACATATAAAATAAAATAAAATTTAAAAAATTAAAATATCTTTTTAGTGTCTTTAGGAATGAGAACGCAATCTCAAGTCTCAAATTTCTCAGCCATTTTGTTCTTGATGCACATATGAAGTTTACACTGTGTTCTGTATTTTGAATGATTTCATCCTTTACCTTTAAAATTTTTTTTCCTCTATGTAGCATCATTTGGCTCATAACTAAGGACCATTTTATATGCCTCTGTCTGTTCAGTTAGATATCCTTTGTTTCTTTTCCTTAGCTTTTAACTACGGAGAGACTTCCAATAGTGTAGGGAACAAGGGTGATGAAAGTGGGTATTTTTTCCTGTCTTAGAGAAAATAATTTCACGCTTTCCACATTCATTAATCTGTAGGCTGTGGCTTTGTTGTATATCTTTACTGTATGGGACTAATTTACTTTGCATCTTTCTGAAGATGGATGTTGAATTTTCTATAATGCCACTTATGATTCTATTGAAATATTCATGTGACTTTTTGTTGTTCATTATGTTGCACCCCTGAGGTGAATCACATGATGTAGTTTATAATCTTTTTTCTGTGTGTGATATTCCACTTGTTTTTCTACTTTATTTAAAAAATTTCATCTCACCTGGGTGTCGTAGCACATGCCTTTAATCCCAGCACTGGGGAGGCAGAGGTTGGAGGATCTCTATGAGTTCGAGGCCATGTAAGGTGACAGCTGCAAACTTGATGCCTCCTCTTCTGGTTGTGCTTTTATACATGACATTAGGTTTTTTTTTTTTTTTTTTTCTTGGAATTGTTAGACTGTTTTTCATCTTGGAGTTTCACCAGTTTTATTATAACATGACACAGAATCATTTGTTGGTGAAGTCTATTAGGGTTCCTGTGGGCTTTGTGGACCTGGATGTGCATATCTCTCCCATGATGTAAATTCTATATTTTATAACCTTTATCTACATTTTATATCTAGCACTTTTCTCCTGTGACAACATTCATAATGCAATTGTTTGCATTCTAAATGGCAGTGGAATGGACTTGCCTACTTGGCACAATTTGTATTATTTTCCATTTACAGGGTACTGCATGACCAAACCCGAGTTGATCTTCAAGTTGGAACATGGATTTGATACTTTTATCATAGGAGAATCCTCAGTCTGGAGTCTCACAGGTCAGCAGCTGGTCTTACGTATCAGACACTTGCTAAAGCAGTTTCTGAACCAGGATCTCTGCAAACCAATTTCTCTTTTTAAAGAAAATTTTCATTTATTCTTTGATAATATCATATATGTTTATAATGTTTTTGATGGTACTTATCCCCATTTTGCTTTCTTACCCCCCTTTTGTTCCCTCTGAACCCTGCCTTCTTCTTGCTAGACCTTCTACTTTCATGTCCGTTCCGGTTGTCTTCTCTGTTGCTGTGATAAAACACTGACCAAAAGCAACTTGGAGAGGAAAGGTTGTGTTTGGCTTACAACTTACAGTTCATCACTGAGGGAATCCAAGGCAGGAACCTGGAGGCAGGAACTGAAGCAGAGATCGTGGAGGAACACTGCTTACTGGCTTGATTCCGAACCTGGGTTGTTCAGCTACCTTTCTTATACAGCCCAAGCCCACGTACCAGGGATGGCATCTCCCACAGTGCGCTGGGCCCTCCCACATCATTTAGCAATCAGGAAAATGCCCACCATGGAGGAAATTCCTCAACTGAGGTTCCCTCTTCCCAGGTGACTCTAGTTTATGTCAAGTTGACAAAAACTTGCCATCACCATGACTTTTTTCTTTTTTTAATGACTCACTAGAGTTTAGTTAAGGTTGACTGATTAAGCATGGGTGTGAAGTTTATACCACTGAAGAAAAATGACTCCCATTGTCCCAGCAGCTATTAATTGCCAATAGCTGATTAGCTAGAGTGGGACCTCATGAGCCCCTCTCCCATCAGTGATGGAATGTTTATGGCGTGTGTAGCCAGCGATCTCTGAGGAAAGGTTTTGGGTGCAACAGCCATGTCAGGTTCATAAGACAGGGTTGCATAGCGCTCTTCATCTATCAGCTCTTAACTTTCCACCCTGCCTTCTGCAGTGTCCCATGAGCCTTTGCGGTTGTGATATAGATGTGTCCTGCTTAAGGCTGAACACTCAACAGTTACTTATTTCATCTCTTTGGCCATTATGAGGCTCTGCATTAATTGTTGACCATGACAAAAGAAATTTCTCTGACCATGACTGAGAGCAGCACTAATTTATAGGCATAAACATAAATATTTTGAATGTAGTTTGACAGGCACAGTATATCCATCTAGCAAAACAATAGTAGTAGGTGCCCCCTAAGGTTTATGACCTCCCTAACCATGGGCTTTTGTCCAAGTTTACAGTACCAGGCCTGAATTCCCTTCTGTGTTGCAGATTTAAAATCCAATAAAAAGAACATTTGACTAACCTCTACAACTATTGCACTAGTGGGCACGTCTTGCCTGGCAGGTTAATATTGTAGCACGAAGGGTCCTAGGTGGGGTAAGACCCTTGCTGATTGCTGTGGCCCAGTAGCTTATATAGCACATTCGGGCTCTATGAAAGCTAGCTGGCAGGGACAAAATTTCCAGCTCATTTCTGTTGTCATTTCTTTATGACCTGTAACCGAAATGTGTGCTGTCTTCAGGAATAGGGTCTTTACCATCAAGATCACTAACAATAGCTAGTATTTTTTGAGGGGACCCATGGAGTCTCCTGACCAACAAAGTGTATGAAGATGTCCCACACCTGGCACTGGGATGTTCATTTAATTACCTATGACCTCTGGAAGCAGCATTGTCCATCTATGCACAGGACCTCCCTTCAAACCCATTGATTTTTAAAAAATATTTTGTTTATTGTATTATTATTATTATTATTATTGGCCTTTTTGAGACAGGGTCTCCCTGTAGCCCCAGCTGTCCTGGAACTTACTATGTAGAGCAGGCTGGCCTTGAACTTCCAGAGATTCACCTGCCTCTGCCTCCCAAGTGCTGGGACTAAAGGCATGCGCCTGGCCTTATTTTTATTTTGTATGTATGATTGTAATGCCTGCACCCATGTCATGCAATGGTTGTGGAGGTCAGAAGAGGGCATTGGATTCCCTGGAACTGGAGTTGTGGATGGTTGTTAGCCACCATGTGGCTGCTGAGAATTGAACCTGGGTCCTATGTAAGAGCAGCCAGTGCCCTTAACCACTGAACCATCCCTCCAGCCCCCTCAAACCCATTTTTTTAATTAGCTTATAAAATAGTGAGTTTCCACATGACTTTTTCATGCTTCCTTCATTTTGTTACTACTCCTCCCACAACCTCGCCTACCCAACCCCTATGCCCCCAACTATTCTTAAACATTTAAGCACTGAATATTTCTCAACCCTGTTTTCATATCACATGTATTCTATTATATCCCTTCCCCCACTGAAGGTCTTTGCCCCTGCCCTTTTGAGCTTCCTGGCTTTTACAGACACTCCGAATTAAACACAGATTCTAAAAATTCAGTGCTAGGATCTGCATATGAGAAAGAACATATAACATTTGTCTCTGTCCTGGTTGTATTTTCCATTACCATTCCCATCACCTTCACTTCTTCCCTCTTCTGCTGAACCCTATCTCCTTCGAAGCAAATGTCTACTTTCATGACTTTTTTGCCTACTGAGTTTGATTGGGGTTCCTTATATGATCATTGGTGGGGGGCTATTTATTGGAGCACAGGCAACTTACAAGTGACTAGACCACTGAAGAAAATGACTCCCCCTCTCCCAGGAACCATCACATATCAGTAATTCCTCAGGGATAGGCGGGGCCTCCAAAGACCCTCCTCTAGCTGTGCTGTGGTGTTGACAAGCCTAGAGTGCAGATAACCACAGATCCTGTGATTTCATGAGTTGAATGACCGTATCATTTTGAGAATGTTTTACGGCACTTCTCCCCATCTTCCATTCTTTCCAGCCCTTCTTCTGTGATGTTCTCTGAGCACTGGAGGGGATGACACAGATGTGTCATTTAGACCTGAGCACTCACCAGTCACTTTATTAAATGCTTCCCAATACAAAAAGATGTTTCTCTGACAAGGCTTGAGCACTAATCTTTTCATATATATATATATATGTATGTATTTTTGAGACATGGTCTCCCTATAGCCCCAGCTGGCCTAGAACTCATTATGTAGACCAGGCTGCAACTTGAATTCTTGTTTTTCATTAAGGGAACCCTCAAATTCTAATTCTTCATCTTTTGTATTTTTACCAATAGCCATTGCTCTTGTTGCAAAGCAAGGATCTGTTAGTTTCATTTTGGCTAGGAATGCCTGGGACAAGCCACCCCCGGCCACCATGCCCCGCTTTCTTTTATATTTTATTTATTTATTTATTTATTTTTATTTTTATGTGTGTGAGTGTTTTGCCTGCTTATATATAAGGGCATCTGTGCCATTCAATTCCCAAACAGGCTAGAAGAAGGCATCAGATCTGGAACTGAAGTTATGGATGGTTATTAGCTGTCACGTAGATTCTGGGAATCAAACCCAGGTCCCCTGCAAGAATAATCAGTGCTCTTGACTGCTGAGCCATCTCTCTAGACTCTAATTTGTTGACATAAATATTTAGAAGACAGTTTGACAACACATCTATTTAGCAAAATATAAGTAGTAGATTCTCTGTGGGGCCTATTCCTTTCTTAGCCATGGGACCAAGTCTACAGTACCAGGCATGAATCCCTCTGATGAGGTGGGCCTCAAATCCAATCAAAAGTAGTTGGTTATCCATAACACCCATGCCACGATTGCACCAATGAGTACTTCTTGACTGGAAGGATGTTATTGTACATAGAGGATCCACAGCTGGGTGAGCCTGTTAATCACTTTTCTCCCTCATCAGCCTGTATAACATCTGTCTATGAAAGCTAGCTAGCGGGAAGAAGCTTCTAGTTCAGTTCCATTTTGATTTCTCTATGTCTGACAACCAGTGTGTAATTTCTTCAACAATAGGGTTGTACCATCTTGTTCTGATGGGCAATCTATATCAGTGGAACTAGCCTATATTATTTGGTGGTCTCTGTGACCTCTCTGACCAAAAATTTATAGCTATGTATCCTATGCTAGGCAATGGAATTTTCATTTGATAACCTATGACTTCTGGGAGCAGCATTACCATCTATGCAACGTACATCTGTTGATATTCTTTTAAAATTATACATATTTTTCTTTTTAAATTTTTTTATTGAATATTTGTGTATTTCATAGATTATCTTAACTTTATACTCCCTTCCCATTGGCATTCATCCATAAGCCTAACCCCCACCAGAGTTCATACATTCTGTCATTGTGTTTAGGCCTGTCATGTCAAGTTAGTGTCCCCAGACATCTCTTAGTGCAAGGTCATCCACTGAGGTTCAGTCAGCCCTCCCTTTAAGAAGATTGGATCTTCCTCATCAAGCAGTAATTAGCTGCCAATAATTCTTTGACTAAGAGTAGGGCCTTCTGTGTATTTCCACAGTTCTGTGCTGGGTTTTTGTCTGCTTGAGTTTGCATGGGTCTCATGCACGCTGACACCATTGCTGTAGGTTCGTATGAGGAGGGTCCCAGGAGCCTGTAGGATTCTATTTCCATATGATCATGCACCTCTTCCCTGGCTCTTAGAATTGTTCTGTCTCCTCTACTGCAATAGTCCCTGAGCCCTGGGTGAGTGGATTTTAATATAGGAGTGTCCCCGACCGCTTTCCGTCTCGCCGGCAAGAACGACGCGGGAGGACAAGTCAGGATCCTTCTGCAGCAGTTTATTTCATAAGCCTCTTACATAGCATACTAAGGATGAAGACCGAAGACGCCGAGAAGTGGGAGAGCTGTTGCTTATATATGCCCTAAAGGTCCCATTTATGACGTATAAGAAGCGGATTGGTTGCTGGAGATCACGCCACGGGAGGAGGCGAGGGAGAGCAGGCTCTTGTGCACGCCCCTTATGGGTACAGCAGGATGTTTACTATTAAGAAGGTCCGGATACCGGCGCCATCTTGTAATGGCAGCGGAGGCTGTGGCTCTCCACATAGGAGTCCTGTCCAAGGATCCAGACTCTAGACTCTTATTCTCTACATTTTTGCCATTTGTGGCCTTTTGTGTTCCTCCCTCTGTTGCATGAGGGAGCTTCATTGATGAGAATTGAAAG